CCATTCGAAAGATCAAACGAAATAAATCTTTTTTTTCTTTATAAATCTCTCTAATGCATTGGGGAACCATTCAGTTGCGAGTTTACGAGTAATATAACGGAGTGTACTGTTAATTCGGGTGGCCCTAATTGGTGTACCTGATCGTTGCCTCGGACCTCGGCGGTCGCGACGAGGAAAATTCTCTCTCCGCGGGAGTTGGCAGCCTGCTCCGAACGGGGCTCGCGGATGGTGTGCAACGTGGCAGACGTTGGATGCACAAGCGTGCATGTTGCGGAACCTCCCCGCTGGGTGAGAGGCCCGCGCAGTGTGAACGCGAGTGCCGTCTCTTGTTTCCATCTCGGCCCACTCTTAGGTTCTCGGTACGGGCATCTGGTGCTCATTTTCGTTCTCCGTCTTCACATCTTGTTTTCTTCCTGCTCGCCCGTTCCCCGTAGAGGTCCTCGTCGCCTAGTGCTAGCAGAGACTCTGCTTGGCCGCGTTCGCGCTTGGTAGCGTCTAGCGTAGCTCTCATTTTCTGCCGCGAGCACAGTTTCGCGTACCGTTCGTCCTAGATACACGCGAGCACTGTTTCGCGTACGTTTCGTCCTAGATACACGGTACCTTTGGTCGCGCTTTTGCGGTCGTACCAGTTATGAACCGCGAAATGAAGGCGCTTAGAGCTGGGTCGAAGGAGGCCGCCTCTTGTCCAGCCATCATCTCTGTTGCGGGAGCCACGGTGGACCTCCCCCCCGAACAGTGGAAGCTACTCGCAGAGGATAAGCATCCTCTCACAGCCCGTCTGTTCGACTTTGTCACGGGGTGAGATCCATGCGTTCCATTCCTTGACTCTAATATGCACGCGTTGTTTATGGTCACGGTGTTCAGGCTGTTCGCGACATGTCAGCGATAGTTACTAGTGGGCAGTGCAGGCCGCGACATACCTCCGCTGTGCTTTTAGGTCGCGTTGTTTATGTTTGAGCTTTTCCCCGCCTTGTTTTACACCGTCCCGCACAGCGTGATTGTCCGGAGGTATCTGGAGAAGGAGGTGCATGAGCACGTCCGAATCGTGACGAGCGGTGTTGTCGCGGACATAGTCGCGGGCCGCGATGAAGCGGTCCAAGCCTTTGCCGGTTTGATGGAGTGCAGCCTGGTGGTTTTCTGCATCTGGTCTGAGTGAGTTTTCAGTGGGAGTGTTCACTTGTACAGGGATTGCACTCGTTTAAGTGGTTTAACGCGGTCGTCAATGGCACGTTCAGGGACCTGGTCGACAAGAAGAGCTCGAACGCGAGCATGCTCATTCTGCTTCACCCCGACCACTTGTCGCTTGACGGTGACGAGACGTGGAACACGCGGTTCGTTCGCGTTGCTATTTCCACTGGTGGTGCGGAACACGTCACCGCGGCTGATGCGATTGTGGAGTGAGTACCGCGTACTGGTTTATCATCAGTACCACGTTCATTTCCGCTCCGAGGCTCATGTCGCTAACCGTGCGTTCGCGTGGATATGTATGTGCTTTTGGGCAGGTGGTTTCAGGGTCGCGTCGACGAGGATTTTGCGCGCGGCTCCATTCAGTGCACTCGCTCCTGCCAGCTTAAGGATCCCGAGCGTCTGTTGGATCTGGTACTTCTGTGTTGTGTACGTGTTCTCGATGACCGCCAATAGTTGCAGTGGTGTTAACAAACCCCATGTAATGTTTTCCAGGACGCGACGTCATTGAAGGGCTCCTGCGGCAATATCGCTTGTTTGTTCGCGTTCGACAAGATCCTTGCCCAGTTGGACGCGGTCGCTGCTAGTGGATCCGGGCCGCAATTCTCGAGGCCAACCGCGAAGACTCTGAATGCACTGCGGCATGAGGCGTACCAAACCGCCGAAGAGCTCGCGTTCAACTTGAGCGTGGATTTGACGCGACCCATGCAAGGCGGTGAGGCTGAAAGTGCTGAAACGGGGAAGGTGCAGAAAGTGGCTACGGGTGCGCAGGTTGCTGACCATGGTGTTCTCGCTCTCACAGGTGCTGCTGGTGTTTCGAACCGCGGAGGTGCTCGGGGGGGGACGGTGGTCCACGCTGATGACGAAGGGGCCGAGGATACCGCGACTAAGGGTGCAACCCGCGATGAGGCTGACCGCGCTGTTGCGCGTGAGGGGGAGGAGTCGAGCGAGGAGGAGGCGGAGGCTCACGTGGTACCGGCCGCGGCATCCAGCAGGCCCACTACATCCGGCAAGAGCATCAAGCACCTCGCGCAGCACTTGGCCCCCGGTGCTGGAAGCGCGGGCCCGAGTGGTGAGGTCGCGGGCAAGAGTCCCGTGACAGGTCCGCGTGATCACGCGTCCCTGTCCTCGTTGCCATCGCATAAGCTTGCTGCCGAGATCCTGCAGCTCGAATTCAGGCTTGCAGCGCTGGCCGAAGAGAACGCACGGCTGAAGAAACGCCAGGAGTCGGGGGTTGGTGGGGTCGCGGTCGTGGGCTCTGAGGAGCTTGCGTCCGCGCTTGCTAATGCGGTTCGGATGTTGGAGAAGGAGGCGAGGGCGATCGCGCAGGAAAGAGCGGCCCTGGTCGATACCCGTAACCAGGAGGCGTTGGTGCTGGGGCGAGTGGACGCGAGGCTGGGACAGCTGCAGGGGGTTGTGACAGACTCCATGGAAGCCGCTCAGAAGAAGCTGACGGACGAGGTTGCGCGGAAGATCGACAACATGTCGACCGCGGTCTCCGCGACAGCAGAGCGGGCAATCACCACCAGCGGGGTCACGAACGCGCTGCACACCCTCATCGCGCTCGTTGGAGGAGCCCCCCCGCCGCGCAAGGATAATGAAGGAACGGCCACGACGGAGATTGCCGAGCCCGGGGATGCAGAGCTTGGAAAGCGGGCAGCGGGTGCGAAAGCGGAGAATCAACGGGGGGCGAAGAGGCAGAGAGGTCCCCAGGCAGCGGCCGCAGTGCGCAATCCGAGCGTGCAGGACATGCTGAAGCAGAAGTGGGGCGCTGCATCGCGAGGTGCAGCACCGCCTGGTCAACCGGGTTCGAGCTCGCGCTCCATCCCACCTGAAGAAGCTGCACCCAAACCACCGGGCCCAGCCGGGGCAACCGCGACAGTGACAAGTACTGTGGGTCGGGGCAAGGGTAAGGCGGAGGATGGAGAGGCGCCGGCTACTGCGGGTTCGCTGGCCTCGAGGCGTGAGGTCCAGTCCGCGGCGGGTGCTGCAGCAGAGGGCAGGCAGACCACGCTCGCACCCGCTCGTGCTGCGATCACCGCGGGACATCTGCACAGCGCACTGGCATCTGCAAGTCCTATCGCGGCCTCGGTCGAGGGCAAGGCAGAGAAACGCGGACGGGGTGGCAAGAAGTTGCCCACTCCACCCGTGTACACGATCGACGAGGACGATGCGGATGAGGAGCTGGAGGGTCTCGTGAGCAGGTGGGTTGAGGCGGGCGACGGAGGAGAGAAGGGTGAGGAGGCCGCGGTCGATATTTATAGCGGCGGAGAGAGCGCGGACGAGCAAGACGGAGACCCCGTGATCGTGGAAAGTGGCACAACGGGAGGACATGGTGACACCGGCCCCAAGCGCAAGGGCTGCGGCATCCGCGCTCCACCTAGGGGCGGGCCCGGATTGGTTTCTGAACCCCATCTGGGGGGGAAGAAGCGATGGCTCGGACACGGCGACCGCGAAGACCTGCAGTACAAGACCGCGATCGCGATGTATCCATACGACGCGAAGGTCAACCCCGGGCTGAACCTAAGCCAGAAGCAGATCCGAGAGTGGGCCGCGGACCTGTCCATCGCCGAGGGGTTACATACGGGCCTCTTAATCACCATGCACTACCGCAACCTCGTGGCAAGCAAGGACAGGTGAGCTGTGCCAATCCACCATCATCTAGTGCGTTCATACAGTTTGGTATGTTATCATGTTCTGGCCGCTCCAACCCACTGCGTGGCAGGTGGCAACGCATGTTCGATTCCTATCGCGGGCTTACCAAGCCCGGAATGCACACCACCAACGTGATTGCATGGGCCGCGGTGGTAGGCAAGGAGGCTGCAGCAGAAGAAGCGGATCTCAGCGACGTGGAGCCGACGGACTACGCGGGAGCGATCGCATGCGCCATTGCAATGGTGTGGGAGGTCACTCGCGGTTCTAACGTCACTGCCGCGGCGGATAATGGAAACCTGGCCGCGCGTGCTGCTGGTTGTTACGGAGAGCGAAGCCGTCTCTTTCCCGTAGTATCCGCGTACGTCATCAATGCGGTGCGGAAGCGCAATCGCCGCGAGGAAGATGAGCCACAGGTTGTCGCGGACCCGAAGGCGGTCGCCGCGATCGTGTCCGGAGTCGTGAGCGAGGTCGTTGCAAAGTCTCGCAATCTCAGGCACATTGAGTTGGCCGCCCGCGAAACGGTGGACGTTATCATCACCTGGTGCGACTGCTCGGTGGCAGGGAAGCAGATGGAGTCCTTGGGTTTGTACCTTGCCCTGCCCAAGGATCGTCTGAAGAAGCGCACTTGAGTGCGTGTAGTATCGCGTAGCATGTGCACAGCCTGTCCGCCATGCTTGAGTTCTACTCGCGGTGGATTGTGCTGGTGCCTGTAGTAAATCGTGTGTGTGTGTGTGTGTGTGTGTGTGGGTGTGTGTGGGTGTGTGTGTGTGTGCGTGTGTGTGTGCGCGTGAGAACCTAGTGTTGACATTTGGAACAATATATGAAGGTTTGTAGGATTCAGTAGGTGCGTGTGTTTGCGCGTGTGCCATTTTAGTAGTAATCTGCATTCGTCTCAGGTATTCCCTCACATTATCATTGTACACACTACGACGCGAACAATCTATGTTCATTAGGCAACAGCAGCCCGCGATCACCACGGCCGCGATGTAAATCAGCACTATCTGACCGCGGAACAACAACAGCCCGCGATCACCACGGCCGCGATGTAAATCAGCAAAATATTCGCGCAAAAAAACAACACTCGCGGTCGATTATATGGACCCATAACATCGCACCCGAAGACGGTGATATGAAGACGAACAACAGCGGGGTCAATCCATTTACTGCAAGTCTGGCATCAGCGCACAGTATTGGGGCCACGCGATCGTGAACTCAGAAGCGGGAAGAGAGGCATTGATGAGACGGTCGCGAACAAGCATCCATTTCACACGTAACTGCACCTCCACCGGAGAACCCTTCTTGAGCTGGCTCAGTTCCAGGTCAACACTCTTCTTCTTTACCGTGATCCCTTCCGATACACCCGACATGCCCACAGCACTTGACATGAGGTCGAGCTTGTCGAGCACTACCGCGATGTCGTCTCCTTGCTCCACCCTGTGGGCGATGAAGTTCATGATTCGCTTAACACGGTTTATCGCGTTCTGGCCGCCTCCCTCCTCCCAAATGAGCGCGGCCATTCGCGTAACTGCGCCGCGGGGTTGGGCCAGAAGCGACTCTGGACTCTCGAGGATCAGCGGGTGCATTGTCTTACGCAGCTTCCATCCGTCTGACGGTTTGGTGGCGTTGACCCATGGAAGGACGATCGCGTCCCGAATCGTCTGTTCCCTAGTTGGCGCTGCGGGTTTCTTCCGCGTCCCCTGCTCGGTGGGAGCTGTGGCATTGGTCGACGCGGCCGCGGCTCCAGGAGTGGTTGCCTGGTTCGGAACCGCGGTCGGCCCTGAGCTGCTCACGGTGAGCCGCGACAGCTGGGCCTCCAAATCATTCACGCGCTCGTCCTTCTCGGCCAGTTTCCGATCGCGATCTTCCAGCAGCCCCTCCAGCTCTTTCACCCGTTTATGAGTCGCGACCAACTCTAGGCCCAGTCTGGTGTTGTCCGCTTGTGAACGAGTCAAGTACTCAGTGAGGACGGTCACTTGGTTCTGCGCGTCCATTCTGGTACTCACCTCCTGCATGGTCAGAAAGCGACCGCGAACTTGTTATGGTTTGGCACTGACATCACGGAAGAAACATAACGCGACCATTCAGTACTTACTGCGGACTGGGTCAGTGTAGGTGTGTTGTGCTGTACTATGGCGAGTTGATTTGCCAATGAGACATCTGCAGCCCACGACGCAAATTCCTCCGTCTGGCAGAGCGGGTTGTTGACCACGTACGGGTGTCGCGGCTGGTGGATGTAATACATCGCCAGGTCTTGCGCGACCGCCATCCAAGCGTCCCCATCCAGCTCCTTCAGTATGTTTAGCCCCGCGGTGTCCTGCTTCTCCGGCTTCTGCGTTTTCACCATCCTGCGGTTGTAATCCTTGCACTGTGACAATAAAACAACAAGGCAGTGAACGCGGTGACAGAGTGGTATGTGAGATGCTCGCGGTCGCGTATGCGCGGACCACACATACCTGTTGCTGTCCTTTGTCCATGGCGGCCCATGGGAAAATGTGCTTCCTTAGTAGCTCATCCAGCTTATCGCTGACCGGAACAGTTGCGCGACCCAGGAAGTAGTCACCGTCAACCCCGGTGAAGCCCGCCTTCAGCAGCACGGCCTCCCTTGGAATGGTTGTGAGGTAGTGCTTAGTCATCACGTCAATGAAGCGCCAACCCCCCAGCCTCGCCAGCTGATCCGAAGGCATTCCGTCCGCGGACGCGTGCTGCGCCCCCCCAGCCCTGGTCGCGTGTACCGCACGCGAGCATGTGATTCCCGCGTCCTGGAGAATTTTCGCCGCCCAGTCGTGATGAGTCGTGGGCGGTATTTGCTTCTCATTGCCCGCGCGAAGGGGGAAGAACAGGTATTGATCGTACCACGTGGAGGGTTCCGTGAAGTCGAGAGGGGGGGCTATGTCCCCATAGAGGATGGGAACCAAGTCGTACACCCAGTGCAGCCACAGCAGCGTGGCTCCGACCGCGCACAGCGTCCAATCTATGTGCCTCACAGCAGATATGTAGTTGAGCGAGAAGTCATTGTTTGTCTTGCCCGTCCTGCACGCGCAAACAAACATGAACGCGTTTCTCACTGGATCGGTCTCCAATTTTGCGCCTAGCTTCCACATCATCATGTCTGGCAGCTGCAGGTTTCTGATCGTACATCCGCGGGCCAGAGTGTGATGACCGAGCACGGTCATCGTCCGGATGCAGAGGTCGCGATGCATTGCCTGCATGTATGCTTTCTTGGCTAGTGTGAAGCTGGTCAAGATTGCGTCCATGCTGGTCTTCCGCATCATATGCTTGAACTCGTCCGGGGTGTACGTGTCCGCGGCCGTGCCCCGATGGCGATCCATGTGTTCCCTGCGCATCGATTGGGACGATAGTGCGGGTGTTAGTGGACGCGGGATTGTCAGGCATTAAACGCGTTCACTGAGAACGTATACTTACGCGATAAACCGCTTGTATTGGTCGGGTACTTGAACGCGGACCCAGATGCGACACTCCGCAAAGTCGCGCAGCAGGTTCAGAACGGGCTTCCTGAAGATGGCCCCGTCCAGCTTGATGAGCAGGTTCAAAGCCTTGAGACGCCCCATCAGCATTGCCGGGGTGCACTGGCGTCTCTTCTTCAAGGTCTTCTGCGGCCTCTTGAGTGTGGCCATCCTGTCCGCCTGCGCGAGTGTCTCGTTCGCGAGGAAGGTCACGTATTTGTGTAAGCGCCACGGATTCGTCTTAGGGCAGTGGAACCACTGCTCGTCGCCCTCCGCCATCTTCCAGTCACCACCCATGTTCTGTTCGAGCACGGCCCCAATCTCGTCGGGGTTCGCGTTTCTCAGCGCGGCCTCATCACCAAACCTACCCGCGTCCAGTTTAGGCAGCTTGTGAGCCATGAACCGCTTGTACTCGTTGGCCCAACCGCGATACTTCTTCAGCGTGGCCTCAGAGACACCGTAGAGGATTCCGTAGCACATCTCTCGTTTCGCGGCCGGCGTGTCGTCCACACCTAGCCTGTTCCAATCCGCGATAAGGACCTCAATGTCCCTCCGCGTACCCCGCACCCGTTCGTTATCTTCCGCCTCCTCCTCGTTGAGCGCGGACAGCGAGTTCGATAGGTACTTTTCGTCATCGTCATTCCAACTATCATCCGCATCGTCACCATCGTCCTCGTCATCCTCATCGCTTGTCCCCTCGCTCCCCTCCCGGGATCCGTTGCGTGCCGTGTGCGGCACTACATCGACTCTCCGCCTCCTTATACGCGGTCTATTAACTGCCCCGTTACCTGACCCGTCGTTCGCGTTAACATCGCTACCCCTGCCGCCGTTATATGTCACCCCATGCGCTCCCTGCCCGTTCGCACTGTACTCGTTCGATCCCACACCTGTCCCACGTCCCGCGATCGCTCTCCCACCCCTTCGTCTCGCACCTCTCCCTCTAGCCGCGTTCCCTCTCTCCCCTGTCCCTCCTCCCGCGTTCCCTATCGCACCCGTCCCTCTTCCCCTTACCGCGTTTCCGCTTGCACCCGCTCCACGCCCCGCGTTCCCCGCGTTCGCCTGTGGTTGCCCACCTACACCAGTCGCGTACGCTACAGTCGGATGCGCGGGGGTGCGGATGTGGACGTCGGGGTTTCCGGGCAACAGTGAGTTCACGTTCCATATTGGCGGCGAATGTGCACGCGCGCTTGCATTCACCCCCGCTCCACCATTCACCGCACGCCCTAAACCACCAGCAACCGCGTTCGATGATGTGCCCTCTGTTCGCGCCCGTGTGTCCAAACCGACAACTAATGCTTCACTAGGGTCTGGCGGGTCTTGCACCGCTGGCTGGCTTTCCGGATGAATCGCGCTGGAGAATGGTGTTGACGGCGCGACAGGAGGCGTCGCGACATATGCGGGTGCGTGCACCATGGAGTCTGGTTGAACGCCGATGTACCCGTACCTGAATCCCACGTTCGAGTACTGCGGCCCTACGAAGCCACGCACGGGCATCCCAAAGAGCTGGCTACCGGGCACGGACGGGGACGCGACCGCATTACCCGGTTGATTTTGTAACGCGACCGCCGCTGCCGCAAACGGTATTTGTGGCCGCGGTGCTAGGTGGAGCCCGTTGACCAGTTGCTGTGGGTGAAAGGTGGGCGTCCGGGACCCAAACACCACTGGCTGCCCGTATGGGGTGCTCCATGTGGGGTTGAGCGCGTTCACCCCATGCACGGGAGCGGTAGGTGGTTCGGCATTATGTATTTGATGCGCGGCTGTGTTGCCCGAAGCACTGATGGAGTCGTGAAGTATTGGCGCCGCGACGCGATTCACAGTATGCATGCGGCGTGCGAGATTGCACCTACTCGTATTCACCGCGTGCGTCAACATGATGCGCGGTCACTAGTTGTCCACTCGGGTGTAAGTTAGACGCGTCTACCTCGCGACCGATGTGCTCGCAGACATTCGAGCGCGGCACACAACGCGACCGCGATACTGGTGTCTGGTGTATCCCAGTGGGTCGTGAGGGGGTAGAGCTTGGTGTGCAACTGGCGATCGGAAAGTGGAAACTGTGGGCGTCCTCGGCGTAATGACCGGACACTGCGTGGACGTGCTTGACACGTTACCGCGATCGCGCATCGACCAAACGAACACACAGCTGTGTGGCTCGTTCAAATTGCGGCACGTGTCAGCCGGCATGGAGCCTACCAGATCGCGCCAGGTGTAACCGAACCGGATCTCGCTGTGCGCTTAACGAACCTATGCTTGTGCGAATTTTGTTTGCGATAAGTTGCGAGAGAGAACAACCAATAGTAGCACTCCTTTGGTGTCGCGAACTCGCGGTTGCATGCGCGGGATGTCCCGCTCGTCAATGTTACCGACCAATCGCGTTCGTTTTCTGCCGAGTCGCGCATGCATCGGCGCGTAAGAACGAGGTGGGTTCTTTCGGTTTTCTGGGGGCCGCGGAGCTTTCGGTGGCAGCCTGGTGGGTTTCACTCAGCCACGCAGGGCCGCGCTAGGTCCAAACCTGGTGGGATCCTGGGTGGCCGACTTCGCCCCACGCTCTCCGCGATTTCTCCGCGCCCCGTGCATCCCAAGGCGTGGGCGGGGTTTTTCCCGAGCCGCGCCGTATGAACATCCCATTTCACCCTGTCAGGAATCGACTGGCGTAATGAAGCGTGGATGCTGACGGAGACTGTTTCTGGTCCGCTGAGATTCGCTTCAGGAATTGCAAAAGCCACAATACTCGACAATTTCGTACGCCAGGTGATCCGCTAACAAAGTGAACAACTATATTTACACTACGAACCAAAGTACACTAAGGGAACTTCCACTTCACTCCATCTCATTCTCATTACCACGCAACTCAATTCAACGATCCATGCACATTTCCCTGCACGCGAAAACGACCAGCCCTATGCCCATGTAAAAATAAAAGTACACTATCCAGCAATAGAATGCCTGAACCAATCCCCAACCTACAGGTTGACACCAAATACTTGGCTATTATTTTTCACATGCCTTCACTCGTATTTTCCTCAACTTCAAATCATCGTTCGCTGGTTCCGTTGCATGTGTAACACCTACAGTAACCAAGGAGACCTGTCTACACAACATGGTATATGCACAAGATGTAAACGAATGGTCAGAACCAGGGCTCTCGTCATCACGCCAAATTGGTCTGATTTTCTGATTTTCAGACCTTGATTTTGGGTTTCATCTGATTTTCAAGACGAGGATTTTTACTTCGTCTGATCCGTAAGATTACGAATTTTAGTTCATCCGATTTTTCAGAGCAAGCCTTATACCTAGTCTGAAATTTCAGATACCGGTAGCGGGTTGCAATTCGTCTGATACCGAACCCCGTCCCCCCCCCCCGATCCCTCGCTTCTCTAAAGCTCAGCCCCCCTTTAGATGCCCTCGCTCCTCTTCCAGGCCTAGTCCAGACCTTCTCCCCCTCCCCCCCTGGTCCACTCCCCATGCCCCTTGTGAAGTCTCGCAACAGCCCAGCCCCCCCCTTCCTTCTCGCGTCCCTCCACCCAACCTGATCCCTCGCAGCACCTCAATGCCACGTGCATGCCCCTCAACAGCCACACGCCTGTCAGCTAGCGAGCTGTCAGCGCCGCGCTAAGGGCGCGTTCATTAACAAGTGTGATTATGCTAGACAAGGGTGTTAGCTGAATCAGACTACCGTATTCTCCTGGACATAACACCCTAGGGTATAGCTAAAAATACAGGGAAAAAATGGGGGGGGTCTCCTCATAGGAAAAAAATACATAATACCCGGGTCTTTACATATGGCATATTTTAGTGTTAGTGTTTTTTTAATTAGTCAATGTGGGTGTTTTGCTGGTCGTTTTAGCATCACTGCCTGAGGCGCGAATGTCAGTTTCGGCCTCGAACTTCATCGCCCTCACGAAAATGCCATGTGACACCTCTCTTGCCTCTTGCAACGGAAGATTCACCTGCATGTGGCAACAGAGAAATAGTGGGAGAGGGCAAATCTCGGCAGATTGCCTTTGAATGTACCGCGAAATTTCATTGAGGGGGAAATTCACACGACATTCTTCCGTATTGCAGCTACTCGTTAACGACTTTACTAATGAATCCGTAAGAAAAGGGGGGTGTTATAGAAAATCAGGCAAAAAGGGGGGTATAGTGGAAACGAGGTCTATCATAACACCCACCCCGCACAAGCTACCGGGGGTGTACAATTATGGGGGGGTGTTTTGTCCGGGAGTATACGGTATGCAAATTTAATTGTCTGGAAAATCAGAGTAACCTCCAGCATTCGTCTGGAAAATCAGACCAGAAAAATATGCCGGTCTGATCGTCAGACGGAATGATTTTTTACTTCGGTGTTCTCAGACAGGCCCAAATCCTAGCAAGAGCCCTGGTCAGAACCAGCGCAAATAAATAAATTTTGTACAGAAGTTCGGCTTTGCCACTGAAAGCACACCTTCCAAAGCTCCAGCAGCTACTCTTCATCAGATGCTGCTCCCATTTTCATTTGCTTCCGTAATCTGAGGGGACCGAGCATCACTCGGCACAGCTGCTCCTCCTCCACAGGCTTTGTCATGTACCCATCCATGCCCACCTGCGTGCACCGCTCCCTCGTTCCCGCTCCAATATCCGCAGTCAGCGCAAATATCAACACCCTATCCATATCTCGAACTCGCCTCTGCTGCTGCTGCTGCTGCTGCTGCTGCACAACCTGCCTTTGCTGGTGTTGCTCGTTCCCCTGCTGAATCTGGCTCCCCCTCTTCGTCACTCCTCCCTCTCCCTTCTTCCCCTCCTCTTCCAGCAGCGGCTGCTGCTCCAAAACCTGCTGCCTACCCCAGGTGGGACTAGTCAACTCCACCCACTTAGAAAACACCCCTCCCTTGGGAGTACTCGTCCCAGGTCTCACCTCCCCCTGCGGCCCTTCCATAGAGCCTACAGCCACTGCTCTAGGCCTTGCTACACTGCCCCGTGCCGGGGTATGCGCTGCTGCCGCTGATTGCTCAACCTTTAGGCAGACTGCTGCAGTTGACCTAGACTGCAGTGCAGGGTTGTGCTTCACCGCTGCAAACTGCCCAGACTTGGAAGACTGGCTGTGCACTGCTACAGACTCCCCACCAGCCGTCACAGACGGGCAGAACCCCAGCTTTGCAGGAGAGCCTAGGAGAACCCCAGATTGCACTCCAGCCTGAGAGGGTGCACAGGCACCCACCCCCACCCCCAGGCCATCCAGGTCCCCGCTGCTCACATGCCGCCGGTGCCGGTTGCTTTTGAGGAGCTGCAACGGGGAGGCGGAGGTGGGGCCTTGGAACGAGGGCGAGCGCATGTGTGTTGGGGCTTGCGGTGGGGACTTCCGAGGGTGCAGAGGAGATGGGGTTCTGGCGGGGGTGGGTGGCTTAGGAAGAGCTCTTTTCGTGCTTTCTGCCGCTGCCGCTGCTGCTGCTGACAAGTCTGCTGCTGCTGCTGCTGCTGCTGCTGAGCCTGCTGCTGACACGTCCTGTGCAAAAAGGGGAAAGCCAGCCCTCACTTGTTCGTTCTGCAGTAGAGCCTCTCTCTCACACTCTCTCTCCCTCTCTGCCCCGTTTTCCCCCTCCTCCCTCTCCTCCCTCTCTGCCCTTTCTGCCCTCTGTGCCTGCTCTTCTCTCTCCATCCGCCTCTCCCCTTCCAGCTTCCTGATTGCAGCTGTTGCTTCGCACCCGTCCATCTCCGGCATCTGAGAATCAAAACAGACACATCACATCAGTTAGTACGGTTTGAAGAGTTAGCTTTTGAGACGCCTCAAAACTAGCTTCCTGATCGCAGCTGTTGCTTCGCACCCGTCCATCTCCGGCATCTGTAACGATCAAACATCGCCAGGGTTAGAACGTCAATAGTTAATACATCCCATTGAGTAGGCATTTCATTAGTCAAGACGGCTCAATAGCTAAGTGGCTTCATGAGTTCCGTCTCGAAAGCCAAGATATCTCATAAGTAAATATGTCTCTTCAGTTACAGAATACCAACAAAACGAAGAGAGAAAAAACTTAAACGTCTCATCGGACCCACCTGCACGTCCATGAGAACACAGTCAATGTCCCATCCCGCCCGCCACAAGCCTAGAGGCACACTGTAACACTGTAAAGACTCAATACTGTAACACCTTAACAGACAGACCCACCTGCACGTCCATGAGAACACAGTCAATGTCTCATCCCGCCCGCCACAAGCCTAGAGGCACACTGTAACATTGTAACAACTCAACACTGTCTGTAACACCTTAAAACCGGAGGTCCAAGAGTTTCTAAGTTCGGAAGGTTGAAAGGGGAGAGAGAGGTGACTGGCTCGCGAGCCAGGGTGGTGTCGAAATCAGTGGTTGCGGGTCGCTAAGTACGAAAAAATCGCGAGAACCAGATCTGGAATGCTACGTCAGAACTCGTTCGCTGACTGTTTCGGACGGGCTGCAAATGTGTTAGCGAGTTTGTCACCACTATCGTCCTCGCTTGAACAGTAATTTCGCTTGGCGAAAATCGTCCCAACAATTTGCGAGGAGAGCTGGTATCAACTGGGTCATACCCAACCAAAGTTAAAAAGGTTGAGGCAGTTTGGGGCTGTTTGGGACTCCGGTTTCAACACACACGCACGCACGCACGCACGCACGCACGCACGCACGCACGCACGCACGCACGCACGCACGCACGCACGCACGCACGCACGCACGCACGCACGCACGCACGCACGCACGCACGCACGCACGCACGCACGCACGCACGCACGCACGCACGCACGCACGCACGCACGCACGCACGCACGCACGCACGCACGCACGCACGCACGCACGCACGCACGCACGCACGCACGCACGCACGCACGCACGCACGCACGCACGCACGCACGCACGCACGCACGCACGCACGCACGCACGCACGCACGCACGCACGCACGCACGCACGCACGCACGCACGCAGGCACGCACGCACGCACGCACGCACGCACGCACGCACGCACGCACGCACGCACGCACGCACGCACGCACGCACGCACGCACGCACGCACGCACGCACGCACGCACGCACGCACGCACACACACACACACACACACACACACACACACACACACACACACACACACACCTGCACGTCCATGAGAACGCAGTCGATGTCCCACCCGCCCGAGACGAGCCTCTCAATGGCCTTGCGGCCGCCATCCACCATCTCCACCCCCACGCCATACCGCTGCAGCATGCGCCCTATCACCTTGCGGTTCACTAGATTGTCATCCACCTGGGAGTATGGGTGGGGAGAGGGGGTATGGGGGGAGTGTGAAGTGCAATGTGGGGAGAAAGGTATGAGGGAAGAGCAGAGTACTGCTGCAGCTTGCGCCCTATCACCTTGCGGTTCACTAGATTGTCATCCACCTGGCAGTCCATAGTGGAAGGGGGAGGGGTTGGGAGGAAGTGCAACGGAAAGCATTGGAAGAATGGTGAGCAGAGCAGCACTGCAGCATGCGCCCGATCACCGCTTTTTGAGTCGACTCAAAAGCAGCACTGCAGCATGCGCCCGATCACCTTGCAATTCACCGGATTGTCGTCGACCTGTGTGGGGAGGGGAGGGATGGAGGGAAGAGAGAGAGAGAGAGAGAGAGAGAGAGAGAGAGAGAGAGAGAGAGAGAGAGAGAGAGAGAGAGAGAGAGAGAGAGAGGAGCGGCAGTGAACAGTGATCTCACAACCCTGCTGACGGTTGCGCTCAGCAACACAGAATAGTGAGCAGTGCAACACTAGAGAGATCCTAACAAATGGGTTGGGATGGGAGCAGTGACATTCCTTGCAGCACCTCTAGTAGCATCTGGAAACTTGTAGGCTTGGGCTTGGTGTCTTTCGTGTCGACTCAAAAGACCTTTACAAAAGGGTTGGTTGGGAGGGAGAACATACCACCAGCAGTGACATGCCCTGCAACGCCTCTTGCAGCATCTGAAAACTCGCAGACTTGGGCTTCTGCTGCTGCTGCTGCTGCTGCTGCTGCTGCTGCTTATTACTCCCTGCTCCTCCTCCCACAACAGCAGCGAGAGCAGCACGGGAAGCAGAGGTGGTTCGGCTGTCTCGGCCTATCGGCCACACCACTCCCTCTGCATCTGCTTCCTCCCTCCCCACCCCACCCACGCCTGGCAGACCGCTCTTGGCTCTCCGCAATGACCCACCAGCAGGAACAGCAGGAGAAGCAGCAGCACCGCCTGCAGCAGCAACAGTGGCAGGAGAAGCAGCAGCGGTAGCATACGCCACACCGTCATTAATAGGAGCGGCAGTAGCAGCAACAGCACCAGCAACAGCAGCAACCACAGAAGCATCTCTTCCCGCCGCTGCCGCCGCTACTGCTGGTGCCGCTGCCGCCGCTACTGCTGGCGCTGCTGCTGGCACTGAGCTGGCACCACCTGACGGTGCCGAGTAACCGCGTGCAAAGTCGAAACTTGCTGAGTCACGTCGTGCTGAGTCAGCTCGTTGTGCTGAGTCACACCTTGCTGAGTCAGTGCGTGCCGAGTCACACCGTGCTGAGTCCACAACAGTCGGGTGAACCTGTGCTGAGTTACCTTGCACGAGGCCCATGCGGCCACTGAAGGGCACGATTTCACTCTCACTCTCCTCCTCTGCAGCACTGGCCGAACCAGGCACGGCCGAGCCAATACTGGCCGAGCCAGGCATGGCCGAGCCTGCACTGGCCGAGCCAGGCATCTGCAGACCCGCCGAAGCAGTGCCGGACCTCGACAGGCCCGAGAGGGAGTGGATGGAGGCACTGGATGCCGAGGCTGATGGGGGGAAAGCAGTGGGGAAGATAACATCCCCTCCCGCCGATAGGGTGTCCGTGAGCCTGCCTCTGCTGCTCCCGCTGCCCTTGCTCTCGCCCCCGCTGCTGCTGCCGCTGCTGCTGATGTGGATGTTGGTGTGGGTGTTGAGGTTGGGGTTGGGGTTGGTGTTGGCACTGGTAACGCTTCCATCCACCTGCTGCTGCTGCTGCTGCTGCTGCTGCTGCTGCTGCGTGTGCCGGTAGCCGTGCCGGTCTATCCTATCGAAACAGGGGGCGTAACTGGCTGCAGCAGCATCAGCAGCACTACCACCAACACCAACACCACCACTACCATCAGCACCACCACCATCAGCAGCAGCAGCAGCACCACCACCACCCCCGCTACGGTCCATAACCTGAGCCAGACACCCCATGAGAGCAGCGTACCTCACCGGCTTCACCAGCACTGCATCAAAGCCCCTCCTCCTGGCCTCGCCCTCCTCCACCCTCTCCTGTGTCACCAGAATCGCCGCGTCCCACTGAGCCCCCCTGTGGAACACACCATGAGATACCATCACACCATGGGATACCATCACACCATGGGATACCATCCCACCATGGGATACCATCACACCATGGGATACCATCCCACCATGGGATACCATCCCACCATGGGATACCATCCCACCATGGGATACCATCCCACCACCTGCACTTCCACCCACACCACTGCTGCTGCTGCTCTTGCTGCCGCTACTGCTGCTACTGTTGTTTGCAGGGACAGTACCCACTACAACTGCGCTGCTGCCTGTACCCATGTCCTGCTGCTGCTGCTGCTGCTGGCGCCACAGCCAATCAGCTTCCACCAATACCACTCTACACCTCCCCCTCCCCTCCGCCTCCCTCCCTTGTCCAACCCCCCCCTCCACCCCCTCCCCCTCCCCCGCAACCGTCACCCCAACCTGTTCCAAATAATTCTCCACAATCTCTCTCCTCACCGCATTCCCGTCCAAAACGCGCGCCGAAACATTTCGGAACTGCCCGTCGCGGCACCCCGGCCGCAGCTGCCTGTGCCAGTCGGCCCCGTGGCCCGACTCCCTAGCCAGATCAGCCAGAGCTTGCACATCCTTGGCTGACGCATTCCGGTCGAACCCCATCTGAAGCTCCACAGCCGATTGCCCCACGTTGCCTTCAATCCCCCCATTCGCACCCGCACCAGCAGCACCAGCAGCACCGGCAGCACCAGCAGCACCAGCAGCACCAGCAGCACCAGCAGCACCAGCAGCACCGGCAGCACCAGCAGCACCAGCAGCACCAGCAGCACCAGCAGCACCAGCAGCACCAGCAGCACCAGCAGCACCAGCAGCACCAGCAGCACCAGCAGCACCAGCAGCACCGGCAGCAGCGCCTGCAGCGCCCCAGTAACCCTGAAAGACCCCCATCCCGTCGCGGCCGTGCGGGGTGGTAACCGCCGCATTCGCATCCGCATCCTCCGCCGCACTCGCACACGGCACCACAATGTCAAAATAAAACGTCGTGCCAACCCCTGGGCGGCTGGAAAACGTCAGCTGCCCGCCCATGAGCTTCACTAGCTGGCGGGAGATGGCAAGACCAATCCCCGTGCCGCCGTGCGTGCGCGTGTTGGAGGCGTCTGCCTGGACGAATGGCTTGAAAATGTGCCGCTGCACCCCGTACGGTATCCCCACGCCCGTGTCCTCTACGGAAATCACCAGCCGCACGCTCTTCTGCAGGACGGTTACCGCTGCGGCGCTGTGGTTACCAGCGGTGGCACCAGGGCCGGAGGTGGCGGTACTGGCGGCAGCACTGGCACCAGCACCTGCAGGAGCAGAGGCAGCACCAACAGCAACAGAGGCAGCAGCAGAAGGAGAGGGAGTGAGGTGCGCGCGCTGGTGGGCAGTGGCGGCTTTGGCTTGGGCGCGCAGGGCACAGATGGTGGCCCAGCTGTTGCACGAGTCGACTGCTTCCAGCCCACTCAGTGTTGTGCCTGCTGCCAGTGATGGGTACATGCCTCCTGCTGTGCCTCCTGCTGCGCCTCCTGCTGCTCCTCCTGCTGCTCCTCCTGTTGCTCCTGCTGCTCCTCCTGCTGCTCCTCCTGCTGCTGCTGCTCCTCCTCCTGCTGCTACTGCTCCTCCTGCTGCTCCTGCTGGTGAGGATGCAGTGGGGGTGGCAGCGCGGGCAGCAGAGGTGGGGGTACTGGTGCGAGGCATGGCAGGAAGGGAAGATGAGGATGAGGAAGCAGCAATCGCAGCAGAAGACCTACCACCACCGCCACCACCCCCACCACCACCACCAACACCACCACCACCACCACCACCACCACCACCACCACCACCACCACCACCACCGCTGCCACCACCACCACCACCACCACCAATAGAAGGACTGCCTCTATACCCCTCTCCAAGCCTCTCAAACTGCACAGAGCTTCCAGTTCCTCCCCGGCTCATCACCCTCCTCTCCCCTTCCCTCCCATCCCCTCTCCCAACCACCCTCGTGCTCCCCTTACTGCTCCCCACCATCACAGGGGACCATTCTATGGACGTCTGCCACCCACCACCGGCCCCAGCACATCCCAACCACTCCTCCCTCCCCACCGCCCTGCCACCTGTCGCGCTCTGATAGGCCGGGGGGTTCCCATTGGGTGAGGCGCCGAGTTTGAATGTGGGGCTGCTGGTTTGGAGGCTGGGGGAGGGCAGAGGCACGACCTGTCCTGCGGACCTTTGCTGCTCCGCCTGCCCTGCTGACCTCTGCTGCTCCGCCTGCCCTGCTGACCTCTGCTGCTCCGCCTGCCCTGCTGACCTCTGCTGCTCCGCCTGCCCTGCAGCCCTGGAATCACACACAGTTCCGCCTGTTTCTACTGCCCTTGCCCCTGCTGCTGCTGCTGCAGTGGCGGCGGCTGTAGCAGCAGCACCACCACCACCACCGGCAGCGGCGGCAGCAGCAGCAGGGGGAGCACATGTGGGCATGCGCTTGGCAATGCCTTTGAGCACAATGACTCGCCGGATGTCCTCTGTGAAGGGCGCCGTGCGCACACACACCAGGATGTGTCCACGTTCGGTGAACTTGCACGCGTTGGACAGCACATTTATCAGCACCTGGTGGGGTGGTGCCAGGGGGGTGAGAGGAGGATAGAAATGAGAATGTGTGTGTCCACGCTTGGTGATCTTGCACGCATTGGACAACATGTTGATCAGCACCTGGCGGAGTGCAGGGTGGGGTGGGAGGGATGATGGGAATGAGATTGTGGCGTGAGGGTTTCTTGAATGCGTGGTGAGGGCTGGTGCGCAGCTGTGGCAGTTGTGTCGACGTTCAATGAACTTGCATGTTGATTCAATTCAATTCGATTCGACAGCATGTTGATTCGATTCGATTCGACAGCATGTTGATTCGATTCGATTCGACAGAATGTTGATTCGATTCGATTCGATTCGATTCGATTCGACAGCATGTTGATTCGATTCGATTCGATTCGATTCGATTCGACTCGACAGCATGTTGGTGAGCACCTAGTGGGGTGCGAGGGAGCAAGTGCTAAAGGCAGTTGAGCTTAACTCCAGGTTCAGTGAATCTCGATGCTTTCATAAGCACACTGACCGACCACACTGCAATGCATTACATTAGATTGCATTACACCGCACTACCTCAGCTGCAACACATTATACGGCATTTATACTGCATTCCACTGCACTGCACCGCACCTGCCGGAGCCTGAGTGAGTCCCCCAGAACGAGCTGCGGCACGGAGGGGTCGACATAAGCCGCCACCTCCACTTGCGGCTTCTCTCTGAATCGCTCCACAAACATGGTCAGCACCTCGTCTACATCCCTCCGGATATCCAAAGGCACCTTTTCCAGCACCATGCGATTGGCCTGCGAAGGGGGTGCGTGAGTGCATGGATAAGCATGCATACATGCGTGAGTGGCTCCACAAACATGGTCAGCACCTCGTCCACATCCCTCCGGGTATCCAGAGGCGCTTTCTCCAGCACCATGCGGTTGGCCTGGGGGTGATGGGTTTGGGCGGTGGCAGAAAAACATGGTTCACGTCCCTCCGGATGTCTAGAGGCGCCTTTTCCAGCACCGTACGATTGGCCTGGGAAAGGGGGGTGTGTGTGAGTACATGGACAAACACGCACGCACACATGCATTAATCGCTTCACAAACATGGTCAGCACCTCGTCCACATCCCTCTTGATGTCCAAAGGAGCTCTCTCCAGCACCATGCGGTTGGCCTATGTGGGGTATTGGGGTTGGAGGCATGAGTCTTGGCTCTTGATTGAAGAAGTGGTTTGAGACGTCTCAAAACACTTCTTCAATCACGTGGCTATTGGGGTTGGAGGCATGAGTCTTGGCTCTTCAACAAGGTTCAGAGACCTCTCAAAACAACGGGCTTCACGACACAGAGAAAGCTTGCCTTGAGCAGGAGACAGACAAGTTCCCTTCGAGAATTCAGAAAAAGCGACGGCTACAGAGCTTTCCTTTTGAGACGTCTCAAATGTCCCTTCGAGAATTCTCGAGAGTGACTGCTATAGAGCTTGCCTGAAACAGGAAACAGGTTACCTTAAGCGGGAACGTACCTCGATCTTTGACAAGTCAAGGATGTCGTTGATAAGAGAAACGAGTGCCCGTCCGCTGGTGCGAGCCGTTTCGGCGTAGTCCAGCTGAGTGGCATCCAGTGGCGTGTCCACCAGCAGATTCATCATGCCTGGCGGCAGGGGTGACAGAGAGACAGTGAGTGGGGATAGGGGGGGTTAGAAGCTGAAATGCATGTGATATATGCCCACGTGCATCTCTGTCCTCGTTCAGATCCAATACACGGACAGCTTGAGAGGGAGGGTGTTGAGACATGAGCACTTTCAGTCGACTCAACAGCCGGAGTAGTGCACAGCTGTGTCTACTAGTAGATTCATCATGCCTGGTGCCATGGGTGACAGGGAGAGGAGGGTGGAAAGAGTGGGGATACAGAGACGAGAGAAGACACAAGATGATGGGAACGTCGGCAGCGCCACGAGAAGACACGAGATGATGGGAATGGATAGGACTCATAGCAGTTCCGTGCGTTCCGTGCGTTCCGTACGTTCCAGCCAGAGCCTCCACTTTTACTGAATGGCTAATTGCACTCCGGCTTAGTACTACTTTCCCTACTCGAGTGACCCGTCCGCCCAGAAGGGAACGACTTTGAGTTGAGATTTTGGAGGAAACAAGAGCTAGCTTCGGTTCGAATCCTTTCATTCTCCGACGGGAGTGGGTGGAGTGTCAAGGATCCATGTAATTGCGTGGACAAAGCAGCTCCAATGCACATGTACAACGACCAACCAACGTGAGAATCGAATTGCTGAGCCAGAAATGCAGGAAATCACTCGGTACTGCACGATTACTTTCAAAACTGCAGCTTGCATGCTGCCACTGAATCAAATTGTTGGAACACCCTTCCTCCCAACATATATGTATGTATATATCTATATATGTATATATATCAACAACACTGCTCACCAATAACTGCATTGAGGGGCGTGCGCAGCTCATGGCTCATGACAGCCAACAAGTTGCTCTTGGCCTTGGCAGCATGCTCCGCCACGAGCTTGGCGGCCTTCGTAGGGATGAGCAAGGGGCGAAAACGAACGTGTTCGCGTTCGCCCATGCACGAATACCCTTGTTCGGCGAACTGAACACTGTTCGGTTCGGCAAACACCTTAAGCAAAAACAGGTGTTCGCCGTTCGCCTATGAAGGCGTGTTCGGGCGAACCTCGAACACGTTCGTGTTCGTCTAGGGGCAAATTGCAGCAGCAGCCCGAACACGAACGTGTTCGGGCAGCATCGAACACTGTTCGGCGAACACTTTAAGCCAAAAAAATTAACCTTAAGCCAAAAAATTTAACCTGTTCGGTTCGCCTCGAACAGGTGTTCGTTTTTTTGCTCATCCCTAGGCCTTCGTGCGGTCCTTGCGTCGCTGCATGCGCTGGTAGTCTCGCTCCTACAACCACCACCACCACCACCACCATCACCACCATCACCACCACCACCATCACCACCACCACCACCACCACCACCACCACCACCACCACCACCACCACCACCACCACCACCACCACCACCACCACCACCACCACCACCACCACCACCACCACCACCACCACCACCACCACCACCACCACCACCACCACCACCACCACCACCACCACCACCACCACCACCACCACCACCACCACCACCACCACCACCACCCACCACCACCACCACCACTACTACTAACAGCACGTTCAAACAAAAAGCACTTACCAATGACTGCATTCAGTGGCGTGCGCAGCTCGTGGCTCATGACAGCCAGGAAGTTGCTCTTGGCCTTGGCGGCATGTTCCGCAACCAGCTTTGCTGCCTTCATGCGGTCTTTGAGGCGCTGCATGCGCTGGTAGTCTCGCTCCAGACGCACGAGGTGGCAGCAGATGGCCCACACGGCCAGAGCCAGCAGCGAGTAGACCACGAGCACAAAGAGCGCCCATAGGGATGGCCACAGGTAGGATACAGACGGGGTGTCGTATCTGGGTGGAGGGAGGGCAGGAGGGGGGATGGAAAAGGGGAGCAGGGAGGGGGTGGGGGCACAGGGCACAGTCAGTCAGGGAGAGCAGTGAGTAGACCACGAGCACGAATAGCGCCCGGAGGGACTGCCACGGGTAGGATACGGGCGGAGAGTTGTACCTGGATGGAGAAGCAGGGCGAGGGTGGGTGGGGGACAGTCTTGGGGGTGCATCCAATCATGCATGCATGCATGCATGCATGCATGCATGCATCCAACAACACACCATCCAATCCATAAACTCATCACACACCATCCAAGCACACACTATCCAAGCAGCAAAGATAACAAATGTTCACGCGCACTCCAGCTTGAAAGGGCCAACCAACGGAGTTCTTAAGGTCCAGCGGTCGGCTGGTGTTTTGAGATTTTCAAAAAAAAAAAAAAGCAAACCAGCCGCACTCACGCGCACTCCAGCTCGAAAACACCAACGGAGTTCCCAAGGTCCAGCAGGCGGGTCTCTGCAAAGTACGTGCCGCCCGCCCTGCCGTCCGCTGTGCCATTGCTGTTGCACGCGACTCCATGCGGGCACCCCGTGTACACCAGCCGCCGCTCGCCGCGTGTATAGTCAAACACTCTCCCCACCGCAGCTCCTGTCAGCGGGTGGTGCGTCTGCTTCAATGGATGGACGTGGGGAGAAGGACAAAGGGGGGAGGGGGGAGACGGACAAGGGGGGGAAGGGGGAGAAGGGCAAAGGGGGGAGGGGGGAGACGGACAAGGGGGGGAAGGGGGAGAAGGGCAAAGGGGGGAAGGGGGAGAAGGGCAAAGGGGGGAAGGGGGAGAAGGACAAAGGGGGGAAGGGGGAGAAGGGCAAAGGGGGGAAGGGGGAGAAGGACAAGGGGGGAAGGGGGAGAAGGGCAAAGGGGAGAAGGGGGAGAAGGGCAAAGGGGGGAAGGGGGAGAAGGACAAGGGGGGAAGGGGGAGAAGGGCGTCATGCGATGCCATGGGTGGCCAGCAGCGTGCACCAGCCGCCGCTCGCCACATCACGAGTCAAACACTCGCCCCCTCGCTGCTCCTGTTAGCGGGTGGTGCCTCTGCTCCTGTTAGCGGGTGGTGCCTCTGCTTCTTGAAACAATGGACGTGGGGCGAGGACAGGGGTGGGGTGGGGCGGGGTGGGGCCAGGGTGTGAGCGGAATGGACAGGGAGGGAAAGGGGGAAGGAAGAAGCAGAGAGGGCGAAGGGGATCAAGCCTTGCGAGCCCAGCATGCACCAGCCTTGCGAGCCCAGCATGCACCAGCCATGCGAGCCCAGCATGCACCAGCCATGCGAGCCCAGCATGCACCAGCCACCGCACTCATCACATGAGAAGCCTTATTCGTTAGATAAGTTGTAAGTACGATATACTTGCACCTACAGCACCAGCACCCGCACCAGAACCAGAACCAGAACCAGAACCAGAACTAGCACCAGCACCATCTTTGAGACGCTGCAAGAACTGTTACCTTGAAGACCGGAGCCCACATGTCGGGCGTGTTCAGCATCGCTACAATGTGATAAAAGTGTTGTTTTGAGACGTCTCAAAAGAACTGTTACCTTGAAGACCGGAGCGCACATGTCAGGCGTGTTCAGTGTCGCTACAATAAGCCCTCCGATGGACCGGCCCAAGTCACCCTCTGTCGCCCCTGCAACCCCACCAGCACTGGAACCAAACACAGCATCCCCACCAGCACCACCGCCAGCAGCAGCGGCGGCGGCGGCGGCGGCGGCGGCAGCGGAGGCGTTACGGTAGACGGGGAAGAGCTTGATTTGTTGCTCCCAGGGCTGCTTCACTGGTGGTGCTGCCAGCAGCCCCGATGGGCCTGCTTGGGGAACGTTCCTGGCAGCTTCTCTCAACTCAGGAACTGCAAACAGGGAAGGAAAGGGGAGGGGGGGGTAGAGGGCGGGCGGGTGAGGGTTGCAGCAGCAGCGGCAGCGGCAGCAGTAGCAGCAGCGGCAGCAGCGGGGGAGGCGTTGCAGTAGAAGGGGAAGAGCTTGATCTGTTGCTCCCGGGGAATGAGCCACGTGTTGAGTCGACTCAAATTGAGCCGTGTTTTGAGTCGACTCAAATTGAGCCGTGTTTTGAGTCGACTCAAATTGAGCCGTGTTTTGAATCAACTCAAATTGAGCCGTGTTTTGAGTCGACTCAAATTGAGTCGTGTTTTGAGTCGACTCAAATTGAACCATGTTTTGAGTCGACTCAAATTGAGCCGTGTTTTGAGTCGACTCAAATTGAGCCGTGTTCTGAGTCAACTCAAATTGAGCCGTGTTTTGAGTCGACTCAAATTGAGCCGTGTTTTGAATCAACTCAAATTGAGCCATGTTTTGAGTCGACTCAAATTGAGCCATGTGTTGAGTCGACTCAAATTGAGCCGTGTTTTGAGTCGACTCAAATCGAGCCGTGTTTTGAGTCGACTCAAATTGAGCCGTGTTTTGAGTCGACTCAAATTGAGCCGTGTTCTGAGTCAACTCAAATTGAGCCGTGTTTTGAATCAACTCAAATTGAGCCGTGTTTTGAGTCGACTCAAATTGAGCCACCTTTTGAGTCTACTCAAAATTGAGCCACGTTTTGAGTCTACTCAAAATTGAGCCACGTTTTGAGTCTACTCAAAACACGGTAGACGGGGAAGAGCTTGATCTGTTGCTCTTGGGGCTGCTTCACCGGTGGCGCTGCCAGCAGCCCCGACGGGCCTGCTTGGGGCATGTTCCGGGCAGCTTCCTTCAACTCAGGAACTGCCGAGAGGAGAGGTTTGGTGGGCATGGGACGGGGGGGGAGGAAGAAGTAGGGGGGATACGGGTTGTTGAAGTGGAGAGTAGTAAAGAGGCAGGGCCTCAGAAACAGGAAGGGGCGGGAGAAAATAGGGTGGATAAGGGTTGTGGCAATGAAGAGCAGTGGAGAGGCAAGGGGGCAAGGGGGCAGGTGGAGGAGGAGGAGGAGGAGGAGGAGGAGGAGGAGGAGGAGGAGGAGGAGGAGGAGGAGGAGGAGGAGGAGGAGGAGGAGGAGGAGGAGGAGGAGGAGGAGGAGGAGGAGGAGGAGGAGCATGTGGCACTCACTGAAGAGCATGTGGCACTCACTGGAGAGCATGTGGCACTCACTGAAGAGCAACTGGTACTCACTGGAGAGCATGTGGCACTCACTGAAGAGCATGTGGCACTCACTGGAGAGCATGTGGCACTCACTGGAGAGCATGTGGCACTCACTTGAGAGCATGTGGCACTCACTGGAGAGCATGTGGCACTCACTGGAGAGCATGTGGCACTCACTGGAGAGCATGTGGCACTCACTGAAGAGCATGTGGCACTCACTGGAGAGCATGTGGCACTCACTGAAGAGCATGTGGCACTCACTGGAGAGCATGTGGCACTCACTGAAGAGCATGTGGCACTCACTGGAGAGCATGTGGCACTCACTGAAGAGCATGTGGCACTCACTGGAGAGCATGTGGCACTCACTGAAGAGCATGTGGCACTCACTGAAGAGCATGTGGCACTCACTGAAGAGCATGTGGCACTCACTGGAGAGCATGTGGCACTCACTGA